CTAGGTGAGTCATTTTACTTTTGGTATGCTTTAGCTGTTTCATAACTATGGAGCATTTTACACATATAATGTTACACAAATGAAATGCTTTTGTCTTTCAAAAGAAATGGAATCATACTGCTTTTTCATGTTTTCCTTTTTTGTACACTTTTAGCTACTTCATGTGCATGAGATCTTCCTTGACTGTCACTACAATTGGGAATTGGTAATCTGGTGCATCTCATTAACACTTTTTCTCCTAAGATTTGTTACTCTTGGTTCAGAAACAAGTAAGAAATATAGCAATACCTCAATATTACTTACTGAACAGGTAAGAGTACTGGATGGGTACATTAATGCTGTAATTTAAAATGGTTTCATTTACTTAATAATTTTAAGGAATGTGTTGTATTAAAATAAGATTATTTGCGGTTTTTTTTAACTTGAAATTTGATAGAGTTTAAGCAGTTTTTCAGTGTTTCTTATTTTCCTTAGATTTCACATTATTTCTATAGAAATGAAGCATTTTGTTCATTAAATACTATACAGCATAGATGGACCTAGAATAAATTATGCTCAGTCATAAGTCAATCCAAAAGGACAATTATGTCTTAAAACCACTATTATAAAAAGTTGAGAAAAAGTTAACATGCAGCATCAATCTTAAATCAATAATGGAATAAAAAGGGAAAGTGAGAAGAGAGTAAAAATTAGTAAATAGATAAGTTGGTTTAAGGGAAAGGCAATACACGATAAGGACTTGATAAGATACTGCATTTGATTACATTAATAAATGACAGTTATGAAACAATGTTTATGGGTGATGATAGGAAAAAACCAATGTGATTTGTAAATCTTCACTCAAACATAATTGAAAGAAATGATGAATTTTAAACTATAAATGGGATTCATTTGCTTTTGAGTGTGGCAAAGACATGTTTGAGTATGAATTTTTCTTCAAATAAAATGTAGCATAATGATTTTGATGCTTCTATTTTGTATGAATTTGGTAAATGTTTTCCTCTCAACATTTCATGGGTGAGAAACTTAACTACCAAAGAAATTGTAGAATATTTTAGTAGAGTTGGTTTCAAAGGAGCTTTGACAGCACATCAGTTACACACTTGGCTGCTAATTAAAAGGTTCAAGGTTTGAACCTACCTAGCGGCTCCTCTGTAGTGAGACCTGTCAGTTTGCTTCACTCTGCTTCCACAAAGGTGATAGCCAAGAAAACTTGGTAGGAACAGTCCTGCTCAGTCCGATCACTCAGAGTCACTGTGAGTTGAAGTAGACTCAATGGCATGTAAAACCAACAAATTCAAACAAAGAACAGGTTGTAACCTGGCCAGATGACCTCTAGGAGAAAGGGGAGAACGGCCAATGAAGAGATTTCACGAGTGCAAAGTATCATTCAGGGAGCTCTGGTGGCCTAGGGGGTAAAAGCTGTGCTGCAATGCCAAAGTTATACAGTTCTATTCCAGCAGCTGCTGTGCTGGAGAAGGATGGGCACCTGAAGGCCTGCTGGAGAGTCACTTTGGGTCAGTTACGACTCAGTGAAATGTAACAACAACAACAAAGTATAACTTGGCTTCATGGGAATTGGACAGAGGCAGCCACCTCCTTATATGGAGCTATATGGTTTCTCACATCTCCTTTCTGGGTTTTGTTCAAGTGACCTCTAAGTGTACTTGCTACTCTATCATTTTGGTTTACACATAGTTTTGATTCGCCACAGCCAAGATATTCTACATTTTACTAACTTATTGACTTAGGCACCTACAGTCTCTGGCAGATGTTGTGCTAGTCCCGTCGGCTAGTGTGTTGACGACAGTGTGGCTTGGGATACACCCCAGCTGACTTGTAGTTTCTGAGTGAGGGTGGGATGGATGATGAGAGTACAGCCGTTCAGGATTGCCTCTTTCAACGGCTCTGGGTTAGAGCTTTTTCCATACCAGCCAGCTTTGAACAGAACAGGTCTTTCTAAATGTTTTACTGCAAAGTGGATCAAGGTACGCAGAGATCTCACATTTAATCTGCTGGAGCTGTTTTTAAATAAGAATGTGTCACTATTATGTAATGCCATAAGGTTGCCTTTTTCCCTCATTTGGCTTTTAATTGCATTAGAAAAGTATATTAATAAATTGCTATCTTTCTTACTATAAAGTAAAGTTTATTATAGGCAAGATAATAAAAGTCTAATGAATATTAAAATAACCTAAACACCTCAACATCTAAAGCTAGCTATTATTTTAATGGATATCTTCCAAGTTCTTTTAAAAAATCTCTATCATTTTGTTTACTTCCTTTTTATAAAAGATAAACCTCTATTTAAAAATGGAGAAGAAACCTAACAAGAAAGAGGAACTGACACTAGTTAATAATGTTCTGAAACTGGCTACGAAGCTCCTGAAGGTAAGTGTAGAATGGGATTGGGGTACGGTAACGAGGCGTGCTGACTTCATTTCTTAGCCCTCTGTGGGTCCTACCTTCTATTTTATTTTAATTATCTTAAGATTATATTTGAGCACATTCATGTAGCAGTAAAAATCCATTTTCTTGTTTTACCTGTGACCAAGTTTATTCTCTCCAAAAGGACACTTTTTATAACACTAATCTCTAAGAGTTTTTAAAAACTTTCATTGTATTTTGCTGTATACATATACATTTTTTTATATAGTTTACTACTTCTTCGAGAATTTTGAGTTCATAGATTTGGGTTTTCTTTTCCTTCTCTTCTAGGAATTGGACAGTCCCTTTAGGTTATATGGGCTTACGATGAACCCACTGCTTTATAACATTACCCAGGTGGTCATCTTGTCTGCTGTTTCTGGTGTTATCAGTGACTTGCTTGGATTCAATTTAAAAGTAAGAACTTACACACATTCTTAATTTCCTAGTTCTCTGTTTCTTAGTGCATTTTTGTGACAATTTGAGATACTGCATACACAGTAATGGGGTAATTTTGATAACTATGCATAGAATTAATGACAATAATGTCACATTAAATTGTAAAGATTAATATATGTTCTTATAATGCTTTATGAAACCCCGTTTTTGTAACAGTTTTCATTATAATTAGGACTATTGTGTAGGAAAGTATTTCTATTTACTCATGTACGTGAGGGGAGCTCGGGTGGCTTAGTGATAAGATGCTGTGCTGCCAGCTCAAAGGCAAGCAGTTCAAATCCACCGGCTGCTCCCTAGGAGACGGATGGCAGTCTCCTTCTGTGGGATTTACTGCCTCTGAAACCCATTGGAGCATCAGCTGTGAGTTGCTTCTGACTCTTCGTTACCAAAAAACAATAAGAACACATTCCCCAGGATGATTTTTTTTTAACATTCATTGTTGCACATTTTTCTCCCTTCCCCTAGTCCACTTGTTAATACACCACTTTTTCTGGATAATTGTCATATAGTTAATGCCTAGCCATATATTCCTTTCAGACAATTTTGCCTTCATCTATTCCAATGCAGTGTTCACAATCTTTTTTCTCTTTTCCTAGTTTAGATGATCAAAAGAAAAGGAAGGAAAGAAGGAGAGAGAAGAGCTCTCTTTCCTTTTTGGCAAAAGTTGTACTACTTCTCTATATAACTATGCATACATTCTTCCATCATATATGTACAACTCATATATACATCAGATAAACAAGTGAATAAACAATCACTCACTCATTCAGTCATTGCTGTCAAATCAGAACTAATTCATAGTGGATTTGAGCCGGCAAGTAGGCGCCACTTTCAGATTAGCAGCCTAGTTGTCTACAGATTAAGAAGCTACCAGGGCTCTATGAATAAGTGGTAATCAAATTAGACAAGGAGAAGAAGTATATTGCTACTTCCCAGTAAAAAAAAAAGGATTAATATGATTTTCACTTTTTTATTTAAGGTGAGTTCATCCTTAAGATGAAAAGAATAAAAACCAGAGAATCTGTACATGTTTGTGATTGAAATGTAAATAGGAAATAATATTGTAGGATATAATTGAATAAATTAGGATATTAAAACAGGCTCTAATGATCTCTTATATTTTCTTTAGCTGTGGAAGATTAAATCATGACAATTCAGAGAACAAATGTAGCTACTTTTCAGGAATAAGAGCACCGACTAAGCTGCCCGAGAGCTCACTGACTCTTCTGAAATCTCAGCTGGGAAATTGAAGTGTTTACATCAGACTGTCTTGTGCAATTCTTATATTTATTTTACCTGTTCACTGTTTTTTTAACATTTATTTTAGTCTTTATATTTTATTTTTAAGCATTGATGTGTACTTTATTGTTGAAAGGGTGATAAAAATGATATCCAGATACTTGAGATCCTGGTAATTGCTCATAAATAATTGACAAAATTACAAATCCTGAAAACAGAAGCCATTGCTGAGCACTGTTTCTCCATCAATGCCATGAACTTGCCTTACTTGAGGAAAAATTCTTTCACTTTGGAATAATGAATTGGACACAGTTCAGCAAATACAACATTTTCTTCAGTTAATCAAGATCCAGTCAGGGTCTTGCTTGAATTATTTGGAACAATGCCAGGATCTATATTGATTAAGCTGCAGTTTAAGCACCCTTCAGTATTAATATATATGGTGTTACATAACAGGTCAACAAGTGCTCTTTGATGATAAAACTCTTAATAGAGCAATAATTGTAAATGGTTACCATACTGTAAGATTTTTTGATAAAAATGAACTAGTAATAATTGTATTTATTTGAAACACTGGGCTGTTTGCACAGCTCCACCTGTGCATGCTCAAAATGTGCACTTTTTAAAGTTACTCCTTTTCACGTACATCTTTATATGGGATATGTTATCGTGTACTAGGGCATGAAATGGTATCCTTTTGAGTGAGGTATATACTCATCTCACAAGTGAAGTGCCTATTAATATTAAAATACATTATGTTTACTCAAGTAAAAGAATTCTCTCCCCATGGTACACTATCGTTGTATGCAAGTCATACCATACGAATGAACACCTTAACAATAAAGGTAAGAACAAGAAAATATTCCTCTAATTGCTAGTTTTAAAACCGTTCCCAAAATTTCCAAAAAAAGAACACTTCAGCTTATAAATTTGTTCTTTTACATTTAACCCGGTGAATCTTCCCCTCCACCCTCCCATTTATATAAGGGCTATTTTAGATACTTTTAACCTAGAAAATAAACCCCCTCCTATTTGCCAAGTGTGTAAATGAGTATCATGTTGGCATGTTAGATAATTAGGGCAAATATGACAATATCTTAAATTGGCCCTTGATTATAAGTTGCTGTATTTGTACAATCAAGGAGTGTTTTAGGAATTACATGAAATATGAATTTTTTTGAGATTTTTTTTTAAACTGGCATCTGATTTCTAGAAGAAAAGTTTTCTTTAAAACAATCCAGAATATTCTTGGTGCAAAGATATCATGTTAACTATCCTCACATTTTTATCATATATGAGGGAATTTCAAACAATTAGTTATAAGTGATTTATTTGATTGGTGCAGTTCAAATCCCCAAATCGTAATCTTTAAATCAGGAATGTGTAGAGAACAAAGCCATATTAGGTCACTTTGTTCTTACCCCTTCCTGTGATCTGCCTCAAGTCAGCCTCATTGTGTAGTAGATTTCCTTTCTATAGAAAACAACAAAAAGCATGTTGTTTTATTTGCCTGGGTTCTAATATGTTTAATAATGACCAAAGTGCATTCTGAGTTTTTTCAAAGAATGTATTACTGGAGCTTTAAGAACATACTTATTTTCTCATGTGAAAAATTAGGCTTTGTCTGATATGTTTCTTCCACTATTGTCTAATGTTGACGTTGTTTTTAGGGATTATATTTTATAAACTTTTTTCAAAATAAGGTACATACCTATACAGAACTGAGCATTTTGCACAGACTATATATTGAATATATTTTGAGAAAAAAAAAAGTACAGCATGAGTTCTGTTAGGAATAAAAGATGAAACTATTGTATCTTATAAAACTTTAAAAAAACCAACTTATTTCAGAATGGAAATATTTTTTGAGAAAAATAACTGAGTATACTGATTTAAGAAAATGTTTTAGATTGAAATTAATTTTAAAGTTGGGGGTTGATTTATTTCATACAGTATACCTCTCAACAACTTAATAATATGTTGAATTATGTTGTAAAAGTGGACAGCAGTAGAATACTAAAAGTAGTTTGTCATTTTTAAGTGGTTTCGTTCTATTAATGCTAGAACTGTTTTCACAGCAGATAAATTGACATTACTGCCTTTAAGAATATCATGAATGTAAGAAATTGTAACATATCACAAAATACAGAAAAGGCAGTTAAAAGATAGAATTTGTGGCAGATGTTTGTGTCTCTTTGCCACGTGTTATATTTGAAAGTTTGAATGGCAAGTATAAAATAAAATATTCTATGATTGACAGTGTTAAACTGTAAGGTGTTTTTGTGTTGTTCCATTTCAGGTTTCAAGTCATAGTTACATTTCTGTGATAATTTGTGTTTACTATAGAATATATGTTCATTTTAACTGTTAGATTTGAGGAGGGTGGAAAATAAACTTTTTACAACTTCCCAACAGTTTTGGTTTTGTTCCAATTCTTAGAACGTGAAAGAATAATGAAGCTGCTCAGGACACTTTGATCGCCCAGCTGCCGTGACACTGTGTGTGTGTGTGTGTGTGTATGTGTGTGTGTGTGTGTGTGTGTGTGTGTTTGCATGTAGAGAACTCTCTGTGGCCTGTCATATTAAAATTCAGAAGGATGGTGGTATTTAAAATTTTTACCAGGTGGGTTTAGCATAAGAGATCAAAGCCAACAATAAGATGGTTAAGTATTGCAATATTTCTGTCATCTGATTGTTACAAATGTTCATGAGACTTAATCAAGAACTATTCATTTTAAAGAACTATTAATTCAAGTATACTTTAAAATTTACTTTCAGCTTAAAATTGGCTCTTATGATGAATTTCCTTTCAAACTTAAAACTATGGCAGTGTGACTGGCACCTTTTTCATATGCTGTATTACGTAGAACATTCATTTGCAAACTTTTCTGCCTAGCCTGTGTGAAGTACAACACAAATACCAATACAAATACTTGTAGTGCTAACTATTAGGGGAGAAGAAACTGGTGAGTGTTGAAAGGAGTACTTTTATAAAACTACTCCCCTAGCAATTTGGAGAATTTATCTTATTTGCTGTTTGGGTTTGTTTTTTTTTTATTATTTGAGAATTGCTGTTGTAAGATCAAGGACATCTCACGGACAGCAGAGAGAATGAACAGATATGTCTTGTAGAGGGTGCAGTCATTCTTTGGAGGCAAGAATGATGAGGCTTTAACTCACACTCTCGATGAGGCTTCACTTCACATTCTTTGAGCATGTTGCTAGGAGGTGCTATTCCTTAGAGAAGGACATGATGCTGGGAAGGGTGGAGGGTTGGTGATGGAGAGAAAGACCCTTAGGTGGATTGACACTCTGACTGCTACAACAGGCTCTTGGGTGTCAGGAAGTGTGAGGATGATGAAAGTAGAACAGGGTTCATATCTTTTGTTCATAGGATCACTATGAGTCATGCTTGACGACAGCACCTAACTACAACAACAACAACAACAAATTCCATGAGATCTTAGTGTTTATTCCCAGCACTTAAGACAGTGTCTGATAAGTCCAAGAATCTCAATGAATAAAGTCAAGTGAGACCTAAGAAATTGGCTAATTTAATGCCCTCATTTTATCCAGTTTTTAAGAATTTACAAAAGTAGGCCACTAAACAGTTTTAAGTAGATTAACTCAAGTTAGTTATTTAAGTAACTTTAAGTAGCTTAATTAGCTTAAGTAACTTTAGTTACATAAGTAACTAAATAATTAGCTAACACAATTAGCTAATGACAAGACCAAATCTCAAACTTCTTGCCCTCAAGTCAGAACTGACTCCTAGCTGACCCTTCAGGAGGTTTTTGGAGGCCTCAGATCACATGGAAGTAGATTGCCTGTAATTTTCTCACGAAGCATCTGATGGATTAGAACTCCCTGCCTTAGAATTGGGATTGCAACTCTTTACCCATCTCTCATTTCTTTTGAAGGTTTATTCTGGTTCCTTACGTGAGCGTTTGATACCTTTTTGACATTGAAATACCCAGTTTTAGGCAGAACAGATGCTGATAAGTTATTTGCCAATATTTGTAGTGAGGTTATATATAAATGGGTAAGCCCTGGCTACAGAAATATAACATAATTTATCATTTCCATATTCAACTATTTTAGGGTATTGACTTGTGGCTTGTATTGTGTTCTCAGAAAATGCAGATTAAATTTCTAATCCTTGTATCTGTGAGAAGGATCCCTGGTGGTGTAGTGCATAATGTATTGACTGATAACCAAAAGGTCAGTAGTTCAACTCCACCATCAGGTAGGTGAAAGAAAGATGAGCCATCTCTGCCCATAAAGATTTACAACCTTGAAAATCCATTCATGGGTAGCTGTGAGTCCAAATGGATTCAATGGCAATGAGTTTGATTTTATATCTTTGCGTGTGACCTTGTGTGAAGAAACAGGAGTTTTTCTTCCCATTTGTTGGCAGTAAAGTTAATGAGGTGATGCTATTGGAGGATGGGTCCTGAACCTTTCTGAACGTTATCTTATAGAAAGAGAGGATGGAATAACTATTGTGTGGGTAAGATGCCATGTGGAGAACAATCCTAAGACTACCAGGACATACTTGGAGGCTACCAGAAGCTAGGCACCACTGCTGACACACTTCGGCGACTCTTGCTAGGAGGTTGGAGTTCCTATAGGCTTAGGATTCTGGGCCGCCGCCGAGGGTCCACTGCTCTGTGTGTGCCACCCACCTAGATCCTGTGCCCTAGGTCTCATGATTATAATAAGTCTCCTGCTCTATGGACCATGCAAAGGCATTTGTAGATCATAAACAATAATGGATAACAATAAGAATGGGAATCCAGGACACCTAATCATGCTTATGGGAAACCGATACATAGACCAAGAAGCAGCTGTGTGAATAGAACAGGGAACACTGCATGGTTTAAAATCAGAAATACCATGACTGTAGTTTACTAGTCTATAGATAGGGCAGTGATGTAAACTTAGCCATGATGAAATACCTTGAGGAACTAACTCCCTAGGCCTGGGGAATTCAGCACAGTCCCAGGGGACATCAAGGCCAACTGATAGAGCAGTCCAAAGACACCGTATCCTACTTTGGTCACTATTGACTCTAGTTTCTGTTAGGTGCTCTCGAGTATGACTCAGTGACCCTATGAACAACAGGTCTGAACCCTGTTTTCTCTCTTTCCATCTGCATCATCTCTGACATAGGTCACACTGAAAACTCTATGACTAGGATCATGAAAACTTGTAAGTAGCCATAAGCATTGGCAAAGAGGAGTGCATAAAAATCATAAGTCATGCATGAATAAATTTTTGCAAGAAAACAGTATCTCTCTGAGCAGGTTTGAGGAAGTATGGGAAAGAGATTCTTTTATAAGCTGACATATTATGAACAATTTTGCTAAACTTCAACTGTATATTTACTCATGCTCTTCATTATTAGATCTGTCTTACATATGAAGATAACTCTCACTAATAGCATTTTTTTTCTTCAGTCCTCAATTTTAGAATGTCTGTTAAATATATTCTTACTTATTATATTGTTGTTGGTAAGTGCCGTCGAGTCGCAGCAACTCATAGCGACCCTATGAAGGAGAGTTCTCCACGCTTGGGTGCCTTTCTTCCTCTCTCCAGGTTCATAGGGTTTCCAGAGGCAAGCTATTAAGGAAGTGGATGTCACTCCTTCAAAGCTTGTTTTAATCAGGGAGCTCCACCCCACTCTCTGTCCCTATTGGGTAGCCAAACATTAACGCATTTGACACATCATTGTCACAGTGCTCAGCCTCACAGCAACCAAAAGTGACCACAATACGGCAACTTGTACACCAGGGCTATACGACCTACTTATTATAGACTTGACTTTATACAAACCATACTAAAACTTCCAGGGCCTATTTATTTATTTATTAAAGTTTTCTTAGTCTTATTTTTCAAAAGATAAAAAATGAAAAGAATTTAGGAAAATGATACATTCAAAGGCAGGGAGACACCAACCTACTGTAAGTGAGAACTGATGGCTCCAACTAAAGACCTTCTAATAAAAGCTGACACAGTCCAGACTACAAGGAAATGTTCATAGAGTCATATGACTGGTTAAGATTTAGAGTAGGTTATTTTAGGGAAAGGATTTCTATTGAATATAGAGACTAACAGTGGTTGATTTCAAGGGCAAACTACAGATGTTTTCTATCATAGTCATCGATTTCAGGCTGTATAGAAAAAGAGCACTTTGAGAGTTTGTCATACTCTCACTCTCCTTTTGAATAAAGCAGGAAGGGTTTTGTTTTTGTTTTTGTTTTTTTTTAATGTTCACCAAGTTTTGCTGGACTATGTCCTTCCTCTCAGCCACCATTCAATGGGTAAATGTAGATGCCCAGCCCTTAGCTGTCATTTTACAGACCTCTGGGTAGAAATAGATCTATAGCTCTGTTGGCCTAGTGGAGAGGAGCTGCACTGACAACCCAAAAACATGCAGTTCAAACCCATCAGCTGCTCTGCAGAAGAAAGATGGGCAGTGAACTCCTGTGCAACTTACTGCCTTTGAAAACCTGCTGAAGGGTTAGCTAACTTGATGGGGTCAGATCCAACTTGAGGGTACATAACAACATATGTAGTCAACTGACACTCTGGGGCTTTACCCAACAGAGGCACTTTATTCTTCTGTTAATTTGCAGATCCAGCCAGATTCTCTCTTCCTAGCTGTGTGAATTAGGAACAGAGCATCTGCAGACAGTAACAAGAAAACCAAAACTACAAAGAAAATATGAACTAAGTAAAGCTAAAAGGTAGAATCTCACCTTATGCCTGAACAGTGATACTAGATGTTCCAATTTATCCTTATGATAAGTCCTTAGAATCAAAGTTAACCTAAAGATTAATTTCAGCTTAAACAAGCCTCACATAAATTGACTGTTTTGTTTTTCTTCGCTAATAGGCTCTCTTTTTAAATATGGGCTCTACTCCCCATCTACCTCTATTACTGTTATACTGTCAAAATTACGACTGTTATTACCATTATGCCATCACGTTGGAACCAACTGACAGCTGTTCCTCCAGTGAGTTTTTAGAGTCTAAACCACATGGGATGAGAATGCTTATTTTCTTTAATGGAGAGGTAGGGGGATTCAAACTCCATTTCCTTGAGTTGGCAGCACAACTCCTTACTCCGTGGACTGTCAGAGCACTCTTATGATTTATGACAACCCCATATTTTAAGTATCGCTTCTTGCTGTGAATCATAGAGAAGAGATTGCTCATATTTTCCCTTGGAGCTGTTGGTGGATTCAAGCCTACA